TGTTTTGTATATCTATTAAAACCACGCATTTTCAGACTTCCGCTATGCTTGCTTTTATTTCGAACTTGCATGACAGTACTTTCAGACTTAAATAATTTATCCAGTTCGCCAGTACGAACGAGACTAGTTAAAATGCAAGATTCGATAAAAGATTTAAATTTGATTTTCTTAAAGTCTAAACCAGTTGATAGACCTAGTTACGGAAAACGGATTTCCAAAGCAAATAAGTTTTTAGCAGCATCCCGAGATAAGTTTGCAAATGATTGCGAAAAATTTATAAGCGTTTTCGAAGGTAGAATTTGCGAAAAATTGGCCCTAAGTAGCGGGGTGTTGCAGAAACTATCAGACCTACGAATTATACTTGGTAGCTAAAATGACATAAATGACTTTTTGTAGGTCAAGGGATTTAGAAGCCAAACATATGTTAGGATTAATTCATCTGATTTGTGAAGTTCTATGATTTTTAGGACAAAAGGAAGTTTTGAATATTTATGAAGAAATTTGTTCAAAACAGGGTACATTAAGTGATATTCCATAAGCTTAAGTACATGGAAAGAGTGCAATGGCAGTTATGGAAAAATGTCGAGATTAATGTATCAGTGGCATTACGATCGAAATCATAGTGACTAATACCTTTTGAAAAATCATGGAATACTTGTTGGATGTTGAGATATGGTTTCAACAGGTTGCATCTAGTTCATCGGAACGGGACGATGTAACTTGACGAAGGAAAATGTCTTTTAAGTAGATTGGTTATGTCAAGGATGAGTTATTAGGAATTTCATTTTTTTTCCGTGTTGGAGTTGTGCAAATAGCAGGGTAAGTTCTGAACATAGTTCCATATAAGTTAGTAGTCATTACTCTGAATGAATTGTAGACGAAGGCATAGGCCTAGTCAGGAATACATTCAGATTCAGAGTGTTTCGGCACACGTACAGGAAAGGATGATACTAATAGGATTGGAAAGGTTGTTCGAAAAATAGGCTATTTGTGGGATACTTCATAGTAACGAGAAATGAGTGGATTATTTTATAGTACTAAAAGTCAGAAGGTGATCGTTAGTACGAATGCCTGATTTTTAGAGGAATACTAAGTAATAAACCACAAAACCCATTTGTAGAATTGTTTTGAGGAAAGATAAAGGTGAATGTTCAACTTTGATTACCAAGTGTACAAATGTGATACCACAATAACGACTGCAACACGTATTTTGTGCTATACACTTTTGCAGAGGGAACCTCGTTGTAGTGGGAGGGTTGCAAAACTGCTCCATGAAATCGTGACAATGAGAGAGTCATTGGACTTGGTCTCTGGGAAACACGAGATCATGATATTCATGTTTTGAGAAAGTCTCGGACTTAGTCTCTAGAAAACTTGAATTCATCCCTAGTTATACAATGAGTAGATCCAAGACAAGGATGCAGAAACTTAGCAAATTTTTAATGATTTCTGATTTAAAGTCGTGAACTCTAATCAGATCTGGGTTCTTATAGAATTACCAAGTAGCATACGGGCTATTGGAAGAAATCTATAAGTGAAGACTTTAGTACAAGGCTTGTTGGGAAATAACAAACTCAGAAAGAATGGGGTCTATTATGAGTAAGTTTTTTTCACCGGTAGCCATGTTTAAGTCTGTATAAATGTAAAGCTTGTTGTGAAATAGTAAACTCAGAAATAATGGGATCTATTATGAGTTAGGCTTTTCATAAGTAGCCAAATTTAAAGCTGTTTCCACTCATATGAGTTATGAGATTAGGCAAAGTGGATGTCAAGATATTTTCCTTAACCGGGAGTCTTGTGGGAATATCCATGAGCAGCACCCAGAAGTATTCATTGAAAGAAGGGCTAAGAGCATCTAGTCAGTAGGATGAAACAGTTCATTTATGGTGAGCTGGTCATTTGGTTGATAAGTTCAAATCACGGATTCGATTATTCAACAAATGAGCATTGCGAGTGGCGCAATGGAAACGTGGTGGTATTTTTGTACTATGTGTTGACAACATATTGATCACTGGAGACAGTGTGAGAGTGTTGAATGACACAAGGGTATGGTTATCCAAGTAGTTGGATATGAAGGATTCGGAATCAACAAATATTCTTGAGATTGAGGATCACAAGAAAGATATGTTGTGATTATCCCGAATTTCATTATCCAGAAACTATCATAAGGCTCATTCGAAATTTGCATGACATAAAGGCAGTTCCTTGTCCTCGGCAAAAGGAAGCCTAGTATGTGCCATGTGGTGCCAAGGGCATAATGAGTAGATATCGAAGTAATCCTAGACATGAGCAATTGGTTCAAGGTAGAACATATGATCAAGTTCCGTAAAAGGGCTAAAGATAATATGTAGGGTTACCAAACGATCCATAAGCAACCTATGGGTTACAAAAGATTCTGATTTCTAATCAAGACATGAACAAAAAAGTAAAAGCCACCTTATGGTTTGTGTTCACTTGTGGGAGCCAAGCAGAATGGAGGAATGTCAAACGATAATACGTTGAAAAATTCTACCATAAGAAACTCAGTACGTCCCTTCCCAAAAGGCGAGCGACGTAGAGATTGGATTCACCATTGAACTAAAAATGTGAAACCTTGTCAGACGAAGTCAGGTCACAATGGATAGTGATGACAGTTGGTGCAGTTATGACAGAGAGGAATCACTAGTTCATAAAGCAAGTGGCACATAGAGCAAGTACGCCAGTTGCAAAGGACTGCGATAGGGTGGACGTTTGTCGCCTAGTTACGTAAGGATACTTCGGTAAAATCCTTTTAGGATTGGCTTTCCGGCGAAAGTGGATGATGGCCATGTTAAAGGTTTGGGAGTCGGATGTATGGCAGAAAGGACAACAATTCTTTGAGAATTAGATTGAAAGAAAATTGTGGTTAGTGATAGCCATGAGCTTACTAAGCATAAGTGGGAGATTGTTAGATATGCTGTAAAAGCTTGGCTTTCAGATATGAACAATTCCATTTTTATCTGGCAATCATGTTTCGGTCAAAGTACATATGCTTGCAGTTTATTTATTTATGCAATCATACTCCTTGTCTTACATTGAGATAGTGTGGTTAGTGGTGTCTCGAACAGAAAAGGACACCTATCGGTTCCTTGTAAGACTAAACTATTCGTTCACAGTCTAGACATGCAGTGAGACCCCTCTTGGAAAAAGACTGTAGTGTATTCTTGATTCAATTGATCTTTGACTGGAGAACTACACTAGTACTTATGTTAAGTATTGAACAGGACCGTGGAAGGCTAAGATTATGAGACTCACTGATCGTTGTTGTAATCTAGACCTTCAGTGATTGATGCTTTCTCTAAAGCTGTAAGATAATATAAAATAGGCATATATATTTATTACTAAATATTTATTTGATTTACCAAGGGTGATTCGTATTTTGTTAGGATGACATACTCGGTATTTTGGTAAATAAGAATATTTATATAGTGCGCTATTATAAATTATTTACGGACACTGTGTCCCAGTGCGCTGGGTTGATGACGTCCCCGAAATGAACTCAGGAAGGAATATTATGTCAAGCCCTGTAGGCGGATGTGTTCCGACATAATGATTAATGATCTGAGTGGTACTAGTTTCGGAAATGAATAAGAAGTTGATTAATTATTTTGTCAGAAATTTAATTAATCAACGGACGTTATATCTTAAACATAGGGAGGTAAATCAATAAATCAGATTAATAAATATTAATCAAGTAGAGGTTTGATTTAATTGATTAAATTGGAGCCAAATGGGGAGAGCAATAATAATATTCTAGTGGGATATATTATTATTTAATTTTATTAGGATTTTAGGAATTAATTTTATTTCATATTTAATATTCCATGAGATAGGGAATATTCCTTCTAGAATATTACCTAGGGTTAGGAGACTTGAGAGTCTTCTAGAAGGTGATGTTAGGAGAAAAGAATCATGAGCTAGTTGAGATTAGCTTATGGAGTAGAATTAGGATTCATTAGCCTAATGGGATAAGCCCATATTTGGCACCTCCTTAAGGTCCCTAATGAAGCCTATAAATACACCATGTCCCAACATCTTGAGATGTACTAGAGAGACCCAATTTTAAGGTTCCAAGAGGAAGTTGAAAAATGAGATCTTCATATAATTGAGAGTTAGGGAGATTCAATTAATCGCTCCACCAAGATTAATTGAAATAGGTGTTTAGGTAATCCATTAGAAGATTTTAAGGTGATATTTATCAAATCTTGAAGATCCAAATACTCTGGCCACTACTCGCCGCCGACATACCTCGCTCAACCAGGACTTCTCGCTCAACTAGGACTCCTCGCTCGACTAGGACTCCTCGCTCGACCAGGACTCCTCGCGCCCCAGGAAACGTGCCGCATACGAGCAGCATGACACAGACCCTGCTCGCCTAGTCCTCACAGGCATAGGAAAGCCGCAGCGCGCGACCCGCACGCACCCGCTATTCCATGCTTGATCAGGACTTCTCGCGCGTATAGGAGACGTCCCAAGCACGTCCCCGCGTGAGCCTAGACGCCACACGCACGCGCATCTGTCCACAACCTGAACCGCCGCAATCCGAACCAGACCAACTTGATCCGGTGATCCGTTCGTGATTCAACACTCGACTAGAGTCGACAAAGGCCAAACCCTTCAACCGATTGGGTTGTGGTAGACAGACGATCTCCATCAACGAAAATCAGAAATGACTCAGAGTCGGAAAAAATTTAAAACCGTAAGTCCTAATCCTAACTATTGATTGCGCTGCGTTAGGATTTATTATTCAATAGATTTGAATGTGCACATTGTCGACGTTCCTAATAGAACCTAACACCGGAGGCTCATGGGGAGCGAGCGAACTCCCTCTCATGTGGATCGGTCTAAAAACCGGGTTGACGTGGTCCGACCTGAAGGGCGTGGTGTTGTCGTTCCTTCCTCCGATAGTTCTGAGAAGAGGTCGGCTCCTTTCGACCCTGAGGTCGAGATCGAAAATCAATTGGTGATAAAGAGTGAGAAGGTCATCGGGGATAAGAAGGCGGTCTCCGGTGATTTGGGGTGAGCTGCAGAAGGAGTCTCGGGCCCACATTCACCAGGATGGGTCGCTTGGTTACATTCTTCCCGTGTTTGGCCCAGTGGATCTTAAGAACTTGGCCGATTTTCCTGAGAAGTGGTTTGTCAATTGCAAGATGTCCCGATCCCCGAAGGTTCCAAATTATTTTCACTTGTCGTGTCAGGTTATTGAGGTGGCCAAGAATCCTATGCTCAGCTGGGACCTGGGCGCGGAGCTTTCTGTGGACAGCTTGACGTTTTCTCAGCAGATAGAGTATGCCGCAATTTCTATTGCTCAAGGCCTTGTTGTACTGGTCCATGCCCACGAGGGGGTGAAGAAATACATGAAGGAGGCCAATCCGGTGATAGACGAGCACAAGGTTTGCGTTGAGACGATCTGCTCCCTCAAGGTTCAAGTGCAATAGAAGGTCGGCCTTAAGGATGCTATGAACCGGGAGGTAGCCCTTGTGGTTTCCCGTCATGACGAGAGAATGGCCTACCAAGCGCTCAGGGGATAGCTCGAGGTGGAAGCTGTTGGCCTTAGACGGAATTTGGCGGCCTTCGAGGCTGAGAAAAAAGGGTGGCTCACGAGGGAGGCCAATGGACCGAGATGTCCACTGGTCACTAAGTTTTGAATCCTCCTATGGTTGATGTGCCAAAGTCTAAGGTGCCAAAGATATGCTTGATTCATCTGCGAAGACTCCTTCTTTGATAGAGATAAAGATGTTTCGAATATTTACTTTAATTATTTGTTTCCTCTTTATTATTATGATTATTACTATATTATAGGTTTGTTAGGAAACTTATTTATTTATTATTTTGTTAGGATTCTTGTCTTGTTGGACAAGTTAGTAATAGAGTTAGTTTAGGAGTCTTATTTAAAGGACTCTTCCACTTTTGTGTTAGGGAGTTGATTATTGAATGAAAATAAGATTGTGAGTTTTATCGAAAGAGTATCTCGTTTATCATTCACACTCGTAAGCTTCCCTACATCAGTTGGTATCAGAAGTTTGCACGATTCACGATGTTATCGCGAAGACAAGATGCTGCAAACGACAGGCATGTCATCACCATCTACAACCTGAGCCGCCGAACTGAGTGGTTTGGCAGCCCGCTCGAGACGATGGGTCGTAAGGTTGCAGATATGTCTACGGAGATCGGGGACATTCGTCTAACTATCCGTACCATGGTTCGGGACAAGCGCGGCTTAGCCGACCAGGGCGGTCGCGGGGGTAATCGCGGAAGTCGTGGGGGAAGAGGGCCTGACGGGGCACCCCGTCAGCGTACACCACCACCGATGCACGGCGAGGACGATAGCGAAGAGACGTTGTCGGAGGTCAACCCATTCGGCTTCCGATAGGCGCAGCAAGATGACGATCGGTGTTAGAAGTTATCGTTCCAAGTCGATATCCCCAAATTTTCAGGGGCCTTTGTGGATGCACAAAGGTCGACCGAATATAAGGGTCCACCTAGTTTTAATGACGAGGGGTCGACTAAATATATGGGTCCACCTATTTTTTATGTTAAGCGGTCGACCGATTATGAGGGTCTACCCGTTTTCTATGAGGAGCCACATGTGGCGCCGACGGAGGACGAGTACCATGTGGTTGTAGAATCATCTGTGAGGCTAGAGGTTGTTTATAGAATGGATGTTTTCAATGTATTGGAAGATGGATTTTCATGGTCTTTTATTCAACAAGAAAATGTGTCTGATTACTCGCATTGTGTGCCCTAAAAGGACAAAGTGAAGCATACCATTTACTTTGGGTCATTGAGTATGTGGGATATCTTTTGGGATCTTGAAGAGTTGCTATCATAGATTTTTTTCTTGTGAATATACCAAGTTTATGGTCCGTCAAATTGGCCCAGTCGGGATTGTGGAGCAGTTGTAGACGAGATTGCTTCTGATTCGAGGGCGAATCTTTTTCAACAGGGGGAGAATGATGGAGATAAAAATGTTTAGAATAATAACCAAGTCATCAAAAGTAAATGAAAAACCATCCAGAACAAGTTTAGAAACTGAAACAAAGTTCTATCTAAAACTCGAAACATAAAGGAAATGTCTTAAAACCAAAATGCTACTATCAAAAGATAAAGTAACGACTCCCACTGCAACAGCCGCCACTTTCGTAGCATTGCGCATGTAGATGGTGATCTCTCCCTCCTTAAGTCGCCTGGTTTCCTGGAACCCCTGCAAAGAATTGCAGATATGATCAGTGGCTCTAATATCTACACACCAGGTTCTAGTAGATACAATCGCTAAGCATGTTTCTACGACAATAATAAGAGAGTTACTTTTGTTGAGGAGAGGGCAGTCGACCTTCTGTCCCGATCTCGCAGCTCAAGACGACTCAATTGCTTCCTAAACAGAGCTCCTTTTCCTCTTTATCCCTATGGACTTAGAGGACGAGGCCATCTCTCGTTCTGCAAGAATCTTTTGTCGCGCCTCATGAATAATCTTCTCAACCGCCTCAAGTTCCCCAATCAGCTCAGCCACCGGCATATTCCGAAGAACAGTGCTGTAACTGTAGCAGAACTGATTTAGGTCCTTATACAGCGAAAAGAGTATTATGTCAGCCTTGATGCACTCTTCAATATGTGCACCCTCAGACTCCATGCAAGTGAAATGCTCCATTAGCCTCTGGACATGTTCCCTTACGGGAGTGCCCTTAGCCATGGTGATCGACATGACAATGTCTAAGTTTCTCTTCCAGTCAAATGGTTTGGGATTAGCAAGTTGTTTTACTTTTAGATTGACCATTAATGGATTGAATGACATGATGAATATCTTGAGAATCATGAAAATAATTTTACAGATTAAACATTTCGAATTTAACTGGTAACAATGATATCCTCAAAACAATATTAACTTAAATTTACCGACATCTCAAAACACCATCAGTAATGTATGATACGAGGGTAACCCTACATACTCAACATTCGCCAGAGAAAGGCTTTTCCAGAACCTAATTTCCATAAGTCAAAACCAAATTAATGACGAACGAAATTAATAGTCGGTCTCCGTTTGGCCATGCAATAAAATTCGGCGACCCCGAGGGGGTTAATTGTCACACCCCGCCTTACTACTAGCTTTGAAAAAAAATCAGAGTAAAATTTTCGTTTTTATTTTCGAAAGAACGTGCGAGCTGGGTTTTCGAAAATACTGACTTATTGCGGGATGTGGCAGATAAAAACTGAAACTGAACTTGGGCTTGCCCACAGACATAATAAAAACATGCAACCAGACTGTCCGCTCGCAGATTATGGAATTATACATGCATAGTCTGTACTGTCTCGCACTGTCTAGAAAACTCGCTGGCGGAAGCATCCGAAATACGAATACATAACATGCGTACATAAACTAAATAAAATACACATAATCATAAATTTAGGACATAAAAATGCTGGTAAAATATGTCCGACTCTCATGACCACGCTGCGCCACATCTGTGCTCATCCGGCACGCTCGACTCCGTCTCCTGAAAAACACAATGGGGGCGTGAGCAAACCACTATGCTCCGCAAAGACCAATACTGAAAAAAACATCATCTATAATAACGTATCATGAAACATAAATATATAAGAGCTGAAACTGTAAACAAATCTCTGATGTCTGTTCTGATCTGTGGTCAAAAGACCCTCGGCCGTAGCCGCTCGTGTGCACACGCCGATGGGGTAGAAAGGGCCTCGCCCCTCCCAACGGTCATCAGGTGGGTATAAAGGCCTCGGCCACCCAACCCGGAACTAAACTGTCTCAAACATACCTCTGCCATGGTACAGATATTATCTATGATGTGACATCCAGTACATGACCCCCACCTGAAAAACTTGGAATCTGATATGCAAGTGCGGATGCTGGAGTAGCGGTCGGAGGCTCGACTCTCCTTAGGCTACATAAATATTTAAGTAAAATAATGCTAAGTATCATACTCGGAATAATTAATTATATGCTAAAATGCTCGGTTTTATCTGCTCAATTTAACTGGACTGGACTGGCTTAGAAAAAATACTAAAATTCCGTAAAATAGACTCGGACCGAAAGTCACGAATCAAAACGGACTCGAACCACCGGTCAGGGCGGGAAGGTGACTCTCTCCGGCCACTTAACTTATACTAAGCCATGTCTACTCATGAAGCTCAATTAAACCAAGATTCTACATTTATCTAAAATTTAAACCGAACATAATTGAGCTCTTAACCTCATGAATTTTTAAAATTCACACAAGTCTCTAAAAATTACTAAACTTAGCAGTTAAATAGTATACATTGACATGTACTTGCTTTCCAAATTTCATGTCAATAGGACTTCATTTGCTTATTAAAGTCATAACTTAAGCATAACGTAAAATTCACTTATATACATGCGCATATTGCAACAATTTTGTAAAATCATGTGATCAACATTTTAAGCTCAAACTCGGTCACAATGTTCACCACTCATAAGAGGATTTTACATAAAATTTTCGCATTCATATCTTGCATGTGGACAGAGCACTCTTGCACATAAAATTAGTTCGACACGCATGCGATCTAAAAACTATAACTCCTTCATTTCTTATGATAAAATCATGAAATTTGGTATGCTGGCTCTCAACTCATATATAAAAATGTCCATAAAATTTCATAATTTTATCCTGAGTATAACTCGAGTTCTACGCGTTTGAAGTCGCAACTGAAATTCGCGCATGTAAAGTTCATCCTGCATGTTTAATTTTAAAAATCAAGAACTCGAGTTATACTAAGCCAATTGACCTAATTCTTGATCCTATGAACTCCTATCTTCCACAAGAAATAGCCATAAAATTCGCATATTCCCAGATTTTTCAGAGCATAGGTAAAAACGTTCGAAAACATAGCATATAGAACATGCAAGTGAGCTGGGAGCATTTATACATTTTGCATGCTTATATACCCTTCATAACTGAATATATATAGCAGATATCTATACCAATAAACTCCTCATCTCATCTATATTATGATTACAAAAAGATGTAAGCACACCAACCTCTTAATCTTGAAGAAAAATGCAAAAGAAGTTGGGTATGCTCGGTTCTTGCTCGGTTCTTAAATGGCAGCGTCTTCTTGCTTCCTTTGGCTTGAATCCTTGAGGTTGCTGGCACTAAAAGCTTCTAGGAATATAGGGGGATGCTGGAGGATGATTATATAATTGGGGTTCTCGAAAAAAACTTGCTATAAGTCAAGAACACTCAACAACAATGCACTTGGGCAAGTTGTTTTCTTCTTGGCTTTCTTGTTTTTTGCTCTCGACTTTGCTGTTATTGAGGGAGTTGTGCTAGAATTTTCTAAGTGTTTGAGAGGTAACAAATGAGGTATCAAGGTGGCTGAAGAGGGCTTATAAATATGGTCTTAGGGGCGTGAGAAAATAGGCATGAAAGTGGATCAAAATGGGAGACAAATTTGAAGACAAGGCCTTACAATTACTAACTCCTATGCACAACACATGATAGTGGAGCATTAAGACCTTGAAAGTGCCGAGTAAATGGGCTGTAAAGGAGCTGGTGAAGTGCCTTGGTCATGCACATGGTGGTGAGAGGAATGATGGACATGTTCTTACACATAGCATTAAACAAATGCAAGCCCATGATGGAGTATTTGGAATAGAAAATGTCTAATTAAGGTTTGACTTTGTCTAATGGTTCTTAAACTTGATTAGGCCTTAAAAGTCCACCTAAGACCAGCTTAACATTCGCATGAAATAAGCATAAGGAAATGAAATGGTTAACATGAACCTTAGGCTCGGCAAAGGCTATGATAGACTCAACGCGCGCGTGGGTGTGGGCACGACTAGGGCTCGATTTAAAATGATCAATACTTATACTTTGATATTTATATACACTTAGAAAAATATTCTAAGTATAAAAATACCAATACTTGGCTATGCTCGGGATTTACTTGAAAATTAACTCGGATCCAAACTAGGGTTCAGAGTCGATAAATTCTCGAATTGACTTGCTATTATTTAATAACCCAAATTAATGGATTAATCTTAACTTATACTTGAGAAAGAATTATTCAAAGAATAATTTATCATATTTGAGCATTTAGCATAAATAATATAACTCGATAATTTTTGAAAATTACGGATTTCACTTATAGTCGAGCAGTGAAACCGTTCTTACTATTATTACTGATTTCGGGCGTTACATTAATAAATTAAATCGCATTCTAAGTGAATCCCATTTCTCGATCCTAAGGTCATCAAATTTGATTATACGTCCTCCTAGGGAAGGCCCGTATGCTCTCATAATACTTCCTATAATCGTCTAATTAGAAATTCGTCCTAGTAATTTCCTACAATCAATTTTAGTGATGTCACCCGAGGGGGAGCCCATACTTAAATTAATTGATTTACCGACAAATTAGAAATGGAGGCTTTAGGAATTTTGAAATTAACTTGAATTTAAAATCCCTTCTCAAACTTAGTATTATTTAAATGAGGATTTTTAAATATTAATGCAATTCTAAATTAATTAACGCAAATGCAGTAATTAATTAACATGCATAATAATTCAAGCAATTCTAAATTAATCCCATACAAAAACAATAATAAATTAACATGTATAATTATTCATGCAATTCTAAATTAGTCCCATGCAAAAGCAATAATTAACTAACATGTATAAATAAGAAATAATTAATTGACATAATAAATTTAAATAAATAAATCCACTATTATGGCCATTAATTATTTAGTCTCTTTAAACAAGAAAACCTTATCAGTTTCTTTTCTTATCCAACTGGAACTCCCACTGCAGTAGAATTCTGATAGATATTGTACTGCTTGTCCTACAAGAAAACCACCATGCACCAGCTGCCGCCGCTGGTCGTCGGCCGGAATTTTTTTCTTATTTTTCTCTTTCACGCGATCCGCCACACGAGTCACGCGAGCCTTCGGGCTCCACCCGGTGTCGCCATTCATCGTCGGTTCTGGCCGCCGGCGGTCCCTCGGGCACAGGTCCGGTCGGTTTTTTGAGGTTCGTCGATCTTTGTGATCTGCCGGTCATCAACACACGATCACAATATGAAAAATATAATTTACAAAATTACATAGTTCGATCCTAGATCCAACGAATGGATGTACATGTTTTCTAAACAAATAATTAATTCTATCCGCTTAACCCCCGGGCTCATCAATACATCACATGTCTGATGCTTTAAGAAAAAATTTAAAACCATACATCACATTCAACAACATTCATCAAACAAATAATCGGCCATAAAACCAAGTTATGCGAATATAATCCAATATATATGGCTGCGTTTGAACACATTCTATCAAATAAAGTCATAAAAATTCAAACTTTGTACAAACCGAATTAACCAAGTGCTCTGATACCACTTGTTAGGATCTATGAGGATCTCGTTCTGTACAAGTTATGAATTCAATAGCAAACATAAAGCTATGTGAAGCAGATATAAAGGTTTGACGTAGAAAACTCACGGTTTATAATTTTCTGAATCTGATGGATTCAGGATGATCGGGAACAGCACACGAACGGATCAAACGAAAGGTGGGTCATGTCCTTGCGATTGGGTCGTGTGGATAGTGTTGGTTTGTCGGTCGGGTCGCGGTGAACGGTCGTGTGTCGCGGCTTTAGGCTCGTCGCGATCGACTGGTTCTCAACGGTGGTCGGCGATCGTCCAGCGGGCTCTTTGGGGTAGGCGATCCTCGGCCTTCAGGTCGTGGTTCTTTAACTTCTGTAGAAGATCATGGACACTCGATTACCTTCGGGATCTTCTACTGTATCACTCTTACACCTCTTCAACTCGTACCGGTGGAGCAACGAGAAGAAGATAAAGCTCGAATGGGATCTAGAGAGAGAGATGAGTGGCGGCATGTACACATGAATAATGATCTGATGGGTCTCTTCTCATGAGCTGAACGATGTATATATAGAGCTACAGTAGGGATCCTTAGGAGATCAGGAATATTGCTTCTTAAGTAATGGACTAACTGTAGGCCAGGCCCACTCTTCCAATTACTTAAATAATATTTTGGTCCACTAACGTAATAATACTGCACTCCATTTTCCTAGCCCAAATTATACTTGAGACTCTAATTATAATTACCAGAGTTATCTCCCCATGTTTAAGATATAATATCTATTAGTTAATTCGATTACTGACAATCAAGAATTAATTAATTTATTATGTTATTTCACCGAATCTAGTGCTCGTTCATCACATTATTATTATGCCGGAATTTAATCCACCTACAGGGTTTAGCATAACAATCCTTAATGAACTCACTTCAGGGACATCATCAAACTAAACGTATATGGTGACCATAAACATCCTAATAGCACATCATACATACACCAATATTACCCAAGACAGTAGAAATATTAATCCAGTGAACTGAACGTCACCCATGTGAATCAAAGTAATATGTACTGCATATATATGTATGTTTAATATATTACGGGTTATTAACCGAGGCCTAGTTCATTTACGAAGATCAGTATAAAACGAACTTCTCCTCTCTGGGATCCTGTTCAATACATAAATGTACTAGTGCAACTAATCAGTTAAGACCAACTATACTGTTGACACTACAACCATTCAGATGGGGTGTTCATTTCCATCTAGGTTGTGAACAATAATTCTTGTTTCGCAAGTAACTGATAGAATGATCTTCTGTTTGTGCGATGACGACTCATTCTATTTAAGTGCAAAAACAACAGAGCATAGAACTTGTTTAATCAAACATGATTCTCATTCATAAAGGGTAAAAGTGTAATATCCTCTAAAGCAATCTTTCAATATATAACCCTAACACGATCATCATGGGGTTGCAAGTGGTCTTATTTTATTATTTTCTGACATCTGAATGCGCCTCGGGGTCCCAGCCCTAGAGATCTTCGGAGTCGGACTTGAGTCGTGACTTAGATTTGTTTTCTCCTTCGTTGACCCGGGCTTGGGTCTTCTCTATGGTTGTGAGCTCGGGTCTGCTCTTGCTTGCTGTCCTTTTTTACCCACCAGTCTTTGAGTCCGGGCGGTCTATTGTTGACTTCGAAGCTGATCTTGTTATTTTATCTGGCGAGGTCGGCCTATGAGCCTGCCTTCCAGGGTTACTTAACGCTGATTCGGATTTCCACGGGGTGTTGTACCTTTGATACACGTTTACCAAGTCGGATAGCAACACAATTTTCTTTAAAAAACTTTTATATATCAGGATTATGATATGTGGTTATGATTTTACCATCAGAATCATATTAAAAACGAGAACACTTTTCAATACAATAATTCTATGTCCTTTAAAAATTTTGCTGTTTGGGTCGATATTCAGTTGATTTTTAGATATATGAACAAAAACGGTTTGGGAGATATGTGTAAGAACACAAATTCGTGAAGAATAATGGTGCGAGAATATTGTGGTTGATTTTTAGGAGATGTGAAATGTTTTGTTCGTATATTTGTATTTAATTAATCAAATACTTAATATTAATTAAAATATAATATATGACTGGTATTAGCGTATTACTAAATTGCCATTAAAAATATATCAAAGTAGAGTTTTTTAGGTAATTTATTTTTTAATTAAAAATATAAGATAAGGCGGGTATTAATATATTACTAATTTGTCACTAAAAATATGTTAAAGTAAGTGTTTTTTAGGTAGTTTATTTTTTTATAAAATCAATCGTTAAATCAATCGTCCTTTTGTAATAATATAGTATAGAATATTGATAATATAATTTGAACTCCACCACATTTACCTAACGAAATTACTTCCCAACTAGAGCATCTTTTTGCAAGCATGAGCAGCCTTCATATGCCCTTTATTAGGGATGGGACCGGTCCGGTTCTTGTGTAATTTTTTAGGAACCGGAACTATTTTTCTCATAGTATTCTCGGTTCGGTCGTTGTACAAAAATTTTCAGAAACCATTTTGGAACCGAACCGTGGACAACGGTTCGGTCAACCGTTTTTTTTTAATAACCGGCGTAAATCAATTTCCCAATACTAGAGGAATCACACACATCTGAAATTGATTCTCAAAATCACATAGCCACCACTTTGTTCTTGCTCTCTTTTGCCTTCTATTATGAATTTGTAGATCTGCAACAACTCTCAGTTTCGGAAGCCACGAAGAAGGGGGCCAAGTCGAATTGATGGTAACCTCGGTGGGATGGTGACGACGGTCAGCGGGTTGCGGCTGAAGCCACGGAGAAGGGGGCCAAGTCGAATTGATCAAGAAATCATTTCTCATTTTGGTCTTATGGCGACATGTTGACTATGATTGGAAAATTACAGGCGACAGGGAAGAAGAATTAGGGCATATGGGTCAGGTGTGCAAAATCGAGTTTGAAGGGATAAAAATGTAGTGAAATTTTGTTTTAGTTCCCGCAAAAAAGAAAAAAGAAAAAAGAAAATTATTTTAGTTTAGTTGACAGGTGTTAAAGTGTAGGTTAAAAATGAAACTATTTCGTGGGCCACATCACAAAGGATAGATTTGGCCTATGTTGTCATATTGGGTCAATGTTATTAGTTGAGCTGGCCATACCAACGGTTCTTCGATTCTTGAGGTGGCCAGAAAATAAAAACCGAAACTAAATATGATAGGAAAATAACGGAACCGAAAAAATGATAACATGCTAACAACTAACCGAATAGAACTGGCTTATTTCGGTTCGGTCCGATTCGGTTTTCCGGTTCTCAGTTCTAAAATCCCACTCCTACCCTTTATTAAATAAAACAAAAAAAAATAGTAGGAGGAATTAGGGATGGCAAAACGACCTGGACCCGGCCCAAACTGGCCCGACCCAGAGCATTTAGGGTGGCCCAAACCTGCCTCGATTTTAAAACGGGCCAGACCTGGCCCGACCTGTAAACTAAGTGGGCCAGGTCCGGGTCCTGTTTCCCGCCCCGCCCCGCCCCGCCCCGATTTATTTATTTATTTTTATACAAATTATATATAATATATAAGTGAATTAGAAATTAGGTCATGAGATATCTGTATCTTTTATCACGCACGCCGCTTCTGTCTCTCTCACTCACTCCACTCCTCGCCTCTCTTCCCAATTCACTCCGTTTCCGGTCTCACTCTCGACACATACTCTCGCATCTCGACCCTCCCCTTCGAAGTCCGACACAAAGCTCCGGTTGCCTCACCTCCGAAGTCCGACGCCTTGCCTCGTCTAACCTCCGAGGCTCCTACACAAAACTCCGGCTCGCCTAACCTCCGAGGCTCCAACACAAAGGCTCACCCTCTTCGCCTATTTTTCTCTGAGATCCCTCCGGCATGCCTCAGATTCTAATGGTAATTAGTATTTTTTTTTTTTTTTTTTTTTNTTTGTGATTTAGCCAGTTGAACCCGCAACCAAGCCAGCACCTACACCTCTCTGTGGGGGAAGATCAAATTGTTTTTTTCTGTTAATTTGATTATTGTAAATTTTGATTGTTTTATGAGTTTCTAGGCATCTATATTTATTTTATTAAATTTTTGGGCCTCTATATCTATCTAATCTTCCTTATATGAATATTCTATTAAAGATCCAACATATGACTTTCGAGCAATTAGGTATGCAGTTGTTGTTCAGATGATGCCCAGACGTAGATTATAGGTTAATAATATCTAAGGCAAGAAAAACAAGATAAATGTACTCAGGTTAATAACATTCATTTCATTATGTATCATGCTACTGCACCAACCGCTGCCTTAAATGACTGTTCATGTCAGGATTTTGTGAGTTCTCTCTCTGCCTTCCCAAGTGATGTGCTTTATAGGCAGATGTACTTAAAAAAAATCTTTTTATTTTTATTTTTCTGGTACACGAATGGGGAAAACTGAAGAATGGGTTAATTTTGCTAGAAGCTTGAAATTCATATTTCTGAGTATTTTTATCTTGAGCTAATCTAATCATTTATTTTTTTAGTTCATGTACAGGAAGATGGATCGTCGACCTCTCATGCTCCCGTTGGGTTCATTGGTATTCACTCTCCTACCCCCATTGCCGTCGGGTCCCCCGGTATGCAATCTCCTACCCCCGATGAGTCCCCTATGATGAATTCTCCTACCGTAGATGGGATGAGCCCTATCGAGACTACTCTGAAAGAGTTAGATGACGCAAATGAAACAACCACTAAAGTCGGAAGAACACGAGCTCTCATTTGGGATGAGTATGAGGAGGCGAAAATAGTGGGGGGGAGATTAAAAGTTGAGTGCAAACATTGTAAGAAATTAATGCTAGGTGATCCCACTCAAGGTACGAGTCATTTGAAAAAACATTTTCAGAGATGTCGATCAAGACAATTTATTGACATGAGACAGAGGGTCTTGACAACTAATTTTTCGAAGGACAAATTTGAGTTGTCGCCTTATAATTTTGATCAAGAGATTTCCCGTTATGAAATGGAAAAAATGATCATTCAGCACGAGTATCCTCTTAAGATGGCTTAATGTGATGGATTCAAAAACATAGTCAAGAGTTTGAATCCGTGCTATAAAATGGTAACAAGAAATACGATAAAGAAAGATTGTCTCACGGTTTATGAAAATTTGAAGGAAGTTGTGATGCGTGTTTAAGAGCTCAATGAGAGTCGGGTTGCAATCACAACAGATATGTGGACATCTTCCCATCAGAAGAGAGGATTTATGGCTATCACAGCCCACTATGTTGACAATAACTGGAAGTTGCAATCTCGAATTATCAGGTATCTGTAATAAATATTCTATTATGAACTCTTTGTTAATGTTTCACTATTTGAGATTATATACATGTTTTAATATATTAAATTCTTTCATGTCGTCACTAAAATAAATTCTTTTTTTTTTTCTTTTACCTTACAGGTTCATTTATGTGCCGAGCCCACACACGAGTGAGGTTTTATGTGAAGCTTTGATTGGATGCCTTCTTGATTGGAACCTTGACGGTAAACTATCCACTATCACGGTGGATAATTGTACCACCTACGATAAGATGATGAATCTCATCACGGAAAAACTTCCATCAGACTCTTTGATGTGCGGCGGAAAATTAGTGCATATGAGATGTGCAGCTCATATCCTGAACTTGGTGGTACAAGACGGATTGAAGGTCATTGGAAATACAATGGAGAAGGTGAGAGAAAGTGTCGCTTATTGGACTGCAACTCCCAAAAGAATGGAGAAATTTGAGGAGACGGCTCGTCAGCTTCGCGTGACACTCGGTAAGAATCTTAGACTTGATTGTAAAACTCGTTGGAACTTTACCTATTTGATGCTACAAATTGCGTTGGATTATAAAGATGTGTTTGCTCGCTTAAGTGTTCGCGATTCAAAATATGATTCTTTGCCTACTGAAAATAATTGGCACTTAACAAAGGAAATTTTTGGGAGATTGAGCTTATTTTATAAGGCGACTGAGTTGTTTTCTTGTACCGAATACCCCACTGTAAATTTGTATTTCCCAAAAATTTGTGAGATTAAGCTTGCTTTGAATGCTTGGGTTGGTTGTGGTATCGATGTGGTTGAGTCAATGGCTAGGGAAATGTTGGCCAAATTTAATAACTATTGGTCTGTTGTGCATGGTATCATGGGGGTGGCAACCGTGCTTGATCCTAGGTATAAGTATGTCATGCTTGAATACTATTTTCCACAAATTTATGGTACTAGTGGTGAGTATGAGGTTGAAGAGATTCTCGATATGTGTCGTGAGTTGCTCCTTCAATATGAGGCTAAGGGGAAGGGTGGTGGATGCCGTGATACAAGTGGCTTGGTTGATCCTAATTTTTCTAATGATCCGTCACTAAGTGGATACGATTTGTATGCCTCTACGCAGAAAAGAAAATCTACAAAATCGGAGTTGGATACGTATTTGGATGATGATGTTTTACCACGCACGCCAAACTTTGATGTTTTGAATTGGTGGAAGTCTAATGCGACGAAGTATCCAACTTTGCATAAAATTGCTCGTGATGTTTTAACAATTCCCGTCTCTACGGTTGCTTCGGAGTTCGCTTTTAGTACAAGTGGACGATTGATTAGCCCCCATCGTAGTAGACTTCATCATAAGACTATTGAGGTGTTGATGTGTGCACAAAATTGGATTGTAAGCGACCAAGGTAAGCATTTCCATTTATATATCAATTTAATTTGATATTTAAATTTTGATACGTAAGTTTCTTTTGACTACATATGTTACTTTTGTTTTTCTTTTTGTATAAATGTAGGAAATGTATCACTTGGAGAAAATGCAACGGTGTTTTATGATTTGGATGATGAGGAGATTTGATAATGGGGTTTTGGTACCATATCGTTCTCTTTTACTTACATTTTTAATTGTGTGTGAATTATGATAACATGAGTTTGACATAATATTTTTCTTTTTTATTTTTGTATGAAGGTGCATTGGGAAGATTCTATTATGGATTGGTTGATGTTGTTCGTCGACGGGTTTCATTGAATTTATAGAAATGATTGATGTTGAAAAAACAATGTAGTTTTTTTAATTTTCGTGGTGTGGGTCATTTGGCATGTTCGGATATTTGCATTTTGATTTTTGAATTGTAAGACTTATTGTGTTATTTGTTGGATTGTTATAATTTGAATTATAAGATTGTTCTTGATTGCTTGTTAACTTTGTAAAATTTTAATAGTATTATTTTTTTTTTGTGCAATGTGTAATGTTTAATGTGATAATTGTTGAAATAAAAGGGATATAAAAATATAGGTGGCCAACAGGGCGGGTCGTGGCGGGTCAGAAAAGGGGCACAGGCCGGGGCAGGTCGACCCGCCCCAAAATGAGTCAGGGCACGGGCCTGACCTATTGGACCCGTCGCGGATCACGGGCCAGGTCGGGTCCACTGGGTAAAAACGCGGGCCAGGTCTGGGTCCGCAGGTACCCGGCCCGACCTGGCCCATTGCCATCCCTAGGAGGAATACCATATATCAATGCACTTTCGTTTTAAATGCAATAATAAACCAGCTAAAGTAAAAGCAAAAGCATAAAACACCTCAGTGCTAGGGATGGCAAAACGACCTGGACCCCGCTCAAACTGGCCCGACCTGGAGCATTTGGGGTGGCCCAAACCTGCCCCATTTCTAAAACGGGCCGGACCTGGTCCGACCTGTAAACTAAGTGGGCCAGGTCCGAGTCCTGTTTCCCACCCCGCCCCGACCTGCCCTGCCCCGCCCCGCCCA